GGAACAGCAGTTAGACTCATCTCTTGCTTCCGTGACAGTTATGTTTTGCTGCATACCTTCTTCGATTTAGTTCCCTCCCCTTTGCTTTTTTTTCCCCTGCAAGTGGCAAATGTCAACAATGGAAAACCCAAACCCTATCTCTACACTTTTCAATGCCAACTTTTTTTCACAAGCTGTGCTGCATAACAGGAGGCAGAAGTGTAGTCTGGTATCTACCCAAAACATCAAAACACTAATGAAAAGCTCAGAGGCCCAAGGCATGAGCAGAGATGAAATGCAAACCCGAGTCTCCACCTCCCTCAGTATTCCCCAGACTGCAACACATCTCATTGAGCAGATTCAGAAAATATGTGCATTTCTGCAGAAGTATCACAGATATGCATTTCAGTCAAGGCAGGAGAGCCACAGGGAATAGAGTTTCTAAATATCTCCTCCTACACACAAATGAAAGCATCGTGCAACACAACAGCCAGTTCCAGTGCGTGCAGATGGACACAGAGATTTGGCACTTTTCTGGCAGGGGACAGAGGCTGCTCGGTCTCTGAGAAAAGGGATTGAAAGAAGGGGTGCACGCTGCATAAACTTCTTACCACTGCAGCCAGGCCTCTGTTCTTGCCTCCACCCTCTTCAAAGGATTGCTCAGTAACAACGGAGGTGCTGTCTCAAGGATAAAAGCCCTGGTCCTTTCTCTGCTCTGCCCACAGCAGAGGTCTGGACAGCAGGCTGGGAGCTGCAGGACCCACCGTGAAGCTCAGCAGCCCCTTTAGCCAAAGCACAGCTCTGCCAAGGCTGCCTATCAGCAAAATCACAACAGTGATTGGTTTTCACAATTTCACCAGTTAGCCTGACTGCATTGGACCGGACAGTGCTGGCTTTATTAGCTCAACAGTGCTACAGTCTTCAGCCCCCTGGCGTGCCTGGGGAGGGGGAAGCACTACAACAACTGCAAACTCCAGAGCAGCTCACAAGCTCAGGTTTTATCCACATGGAAAGGAAGCCTCTGGAGAGCAACAAGCCTGACTGCTCAAGAGTGTAATTAGCAGAACAGGCAAGTGATTCACGCATTCAGTCTGGCAAAACAGAAGTGTTTTAAAAACAAGGAGATGCTAAGTCAAATTGGCCACGCTGCTCTGGCTGCGACAAGCTCTGGAGAAGGAGGCAGGGGGCTGGGTTTGGAGATCAAGTGAGTCATCTCTCTGCCAACTGGGTGACTCCAGCTGAAGAGTGCTCCAAGGCTCACAGAGGCAAAGGTTCCCATCCCAGAGAGATGAGCCCAGAGCCCCCGTGTGCACCCAACAAGCCGGGGAAGCAAGCACGCTACAGGCATGGATTTATTCCTCCTGCTACCAGGATCTTCTTTCAGAGGAAGGCAGCAGTGCTGCTCAGGCACCTCACCCCAAGTGAAAGGCACATCTTCATCCTGCCTCACTGCATATTCCTCGTGTTCCCTCAAAGGAGGAATAGAGTGCAACAGGTCTTCGAGTCCAACACAGCTCTTCTCTTTGCCCATTTCTGCACCTCAATACACTCCTGGACTAAAACAACTCCTCAGATGACCCTCACAGTCACACAGCCCTAAGAGATGCCTTACTAACACAGAGACAAGCCACTGTATCTGGAAGCACTGAGCTCTTTGAACCATGCTAAAAGATGACCTGTTTGCCACGCACCACTCCCTCCTTGCAGCTGCAGGAGCAATGGACAAGATCAGCAGGGATAAAACTGCAGCTCCACAGGCTTCTGTAGAGAGCAGCCAATTTGTACCAGATCTGCCCCTCGACTCCAGTGCCTGGATGTTCTCACATGTCACAGAGCTTAAGACATCCCAAGAGCAGCCTTGGATTTTAAACTCTTCCTTACGACACAGTCATGTCTGCTTTACTGAGCCTCCTTACATGACACCTCCCTCTTTACACATCATCTGCATGAGGAGGCAATTCTGCACCTCCAGAGCTGTATTCTAACCCCTAACAGAAACTACAGAGTCACATTAACAAATAAATGCTTGTTTATTTATTGAGAAAGTTCCTGATCACTTTTCTTTGCAGTGACTTACAAGGCATCCCACAGTTGATATTTCCTAGGTCAACAACAATCTCGAAGATGCTGTTATCACAGCTGCTGGTTTTAATTTCAGCGGGGTAAGAGAAGGGGTAAGTAAAACAGAGAAAGGCCTCCAGAGGCACAGCATCCCATCGCTATAAAGAGATTAATTGCCAGGACTCCAGATCCCAGCATCCTTAATTTTAAAGCACAGAAAAAAAAAAAGGGCTTGCAATCTCGGAGCCCCGTTGAGTAGTCTTCAGATCTGGTTTTCGTCATACATAACTCGTGGTGGCAAAGGTTTTATAGGTCAGTCAACACTGTAATGGATGCTCTGTGGCAAACAGTGGGTTTGCGTGGATGTAATTCAGTGAAGCTTTATAAAACGATTTGGCTGACGAGGCACGTGCAGGGAGAGAATCAGCTCATTCCTCCCAAGCCACTGTGGCTTGGCAGAGCTAGCAGAAAAAAGGGGAAATTTATCTTCCTCATCGGAGTCAACAACAGTACACCCGTGTGCAGATGGGGAGGTGGATTATAAAGGTGAGCCCCATGACCAGGAATGCACTTCCCAAATGCAGCACAAAGCAGAGCCTTGTCCTTACGCTTCAGAAGGTGTTTGGTAGCTGATCTATAATAAAGCAAAGTTGCTTTTCTCCTGGGTAGAAAATAAAGAGCGTTACTCTCAAAAGGCTGAGAAGAAAAGGTCCACAAGGACACCTGCATTTATCATCCCAGTGCTCTCCTCACTCAGGACTGAACCACAACGACAAAGCAAGCTCCTGGCTGAGCCCCTTCAGCTTTAAGGCTGCTGGAAAAATATTCCCCTTCCGCCCCTCCTGTCCCACTGCTCCT